AGGTTGGATATTAGGAAAAACTATTTCACTAGGAGGGTGGTGCAGCACTGGGCTGGGTTCCCTAGGGAAGTAGTGGAGTCTCCATCCCTAGAGGTGTTTAAGTCTCGGCTTGACAAAGCCCTGGCTGGGTTGATTTAGTTGGGATTGGTCCTGCCTTGGGCAGGGGCTGGACTCGATGACTCCTGAGGTCTCTTCCAGCTCTATGGTTCTATGATTTGACCAACCCTGCCAGTTACACGGGGCCATATTTGTCTCACTACTGAACTGAGGGTTTGAGTGTGAAATATCCTTCAGATTCTCAAGAGCTTCCTAATCTGCCCCTCTCCACGACAGTTTATAATCTAAGCGGCCCGGTGTCTGCGCTGTGCGTGCTCCAGCCAAGGGAGCTAGTGGAGTGCTGCTTAGAGTGGAGGGTAACCTTTTCCTGGGTCTCTCTTTCCTGGACCCAGATGACATGGATGAGATTGAGAAGATTGATTATTAAATACACTGGAGTATTTGGAATCCAAGGCAGATCTTGCTCTTAATCTTAGACCTCAGTATTATTTTCGGTTTAAAAAATGGAAATAACCATAGTGCTATGTTTGCAAATGGCTCTGGCTTGCCAGGGGACGTTGTATGTTTATGAAAAAGAATTATAGGCAAAGAAATAAAAGTTCTCTTGACCTCAGCCTGGTCCTGGTTTTCCCTTCTTGTCGGCTCCCGTGGTTTTGTCTGGCGTGTCTCATTGCCAGGCTGTTTGGTGGGATTCAGAAAAAGCACACAAGGACGTTCTCCCTTTCCCACACCATTCCCAGGGTCATCTCCATGGCAAGCAGTGACGTAGGGAAGGGGTTGGCAGCTTAACATGGTCCTTTCACCAAACATTAATACAACTAGCCAGGGATGGCAGTGGTCACTGTCACAGTCCTGCGCAAGGCCACACTGACTCTGCAAAGGAGTAACCAAGAAACGACACCTCCCATTTTAATCCCCAGGCCTCATCTCTGCGCTCCCGTTCGATCACACATTTAAAAGCGCGGGCTAGCGGTTACTGCACTGGGCCGGAGGGAGCTGCAATCCCAGGCAGCGTGGGCTAGCGGTTACTGCACTGGGCTGCAGGGAGCTGCAATCCCGGGCAGCGCGGGCTAGCGGTTACTGCTCTGGGCTGGAGGGAGCTGCAATCCCGGGCAGTGCGGGCTAGCGGTTACTGCTCTGGGCTGGAAGGAGCTGCAATCCCGGGCAGCGCGGGCTAGCGGTTACTGCTCTGGGCTGCAGGGAGCTGCAATTCCGGGCCGTGCCGGCTG